AAATAAAAAAATTATTTGATTTTAATTAGGTGGTCATTGAGATATCTTAGCTTGAATTCTTGAAATTTTATAGAAATATGATGCATCAAGAACGCCACCTCAATTTAGAGGTAAATTAGACCTACCAAAAAAGTAACCGCAGATCTACCAAAAACGTAACTTTTGCCCCTAATTTATATAGTTCACGTGATTTTTGTTTTACAAATTTGTTAGTTATCTATATGCCGTATTTACCTGAAATAACGCGCACCTGCACGTTATTTCAAGTACGCGCATGGGCATTATTTTGGGGTAAAGGTCTAATTTCTACAAAATTGATGCGTTATATATGTGTGATGCATAAAAAACCAGTATTTCTTAATTTTATATACAGCTTTTCTGATCTAAGTCAGATTTTTTGACTAAAAAATTCTTGATTCTGCTTGTTATCACAATTCGTTATTTTAGCAGATTATTAATTGCCATTTGGGGTGTGCATTATTTCGGGGACGCACATGGGCGTTATTTTGAAACCAATACGCTATTTTAAGGAAATGCAATTTTCGAAATAACGCACATGTGCATTATTTCGGGTAAATACAGTAACAAATCAAACAAATGTCGTATTAATCTTATCATTTGGATGTTAAATCAGATCACATTTAGATCTGATCCAATCAAAAACGTTACAATTTTCGACTTTTGTTCGATAAGCAAAGTTATAGAAAAGCACATATATATAATAGTCTTCAATAGAAATTTTTAAGTTCGTTTCTAAATAATTCAGATTAGTCCAATCAGTGACAAAATTTTTCTATGCTGTTTGGTTCTCAATTTAACCTTTAAATTTCCATCAGACCATTACAGAAAAATAATCGTTCCTTAACTTCGTTCAAAATTTCAATCATAAAGACCTTGCAGAAAATGATGATAATCTTCAATACCTGTTTAAAATCATGTTCGTCACAATTTAGGATACACTGCATGTGAAAACTTGAAACGTTGTGATGGCTATGATCACGCTGTCCAATCATGTTTAAGATTTTGCACCCGTACACCATTTCTCTCTCGAATAGGCCATACACTTCGTTTCACTCCGTTCCTGGTAAAGCAGCAATAATATATGTTTAATTTCTAATAGCTAACAATGACCCATAGCTTAATTGGATATCATTAATCCTATTTTTCAAGTACTAAGTGCAGATATGAATACCGTCCAAACTACAAGTTTCTAATATCCTTTCAGATCAAAGTCCTGAACAGAATAAAATTATCCCAAGTTCCAAGTCTCGATCTGAACCTTTTCGGCCAATAGCTGTAGCACCAGACTGGATATGGCGTCTACTTTTTGTTAACAAAATTATAAATCATCATAACCTTGTAAAAACAGACTAAAAATCCTATGACAATTGATACTATGAAACTATAATTCCGCCAAATTTATTTTTATTTTTTTGAAAAGTAATGATTCATACAGAAGTCGACCAATCGTATAATAATTGATTACATTAATGTTAAATGAAAATATCCAGATAATAGACAGTATATTTGATTCGATGTCTTATTCTGTCCGAAGAATGAGCCTATTCTTATTCTTTCTGTAAAGATCCACAATTTTCCATAAAATTTCCTCGAAGATCTGTTGGAGGGAAAAGATTGTTATCACCTCCCAAGGTAACAGTAAGATCTTTTTGTTCAAATTATATTTCATCGAGTTTTGCGAAATCTTTGTTAAAATCATTAATATTTTTGAAGGATATTTCAAGCGTGTGAGCCATTTTAGGGCATAGTTTAATCAACCTTGAACTTGAATTTGGATATATTTTATGAAATCCATGAGGTTTGAACTTATGATGCAATACTTGTGTAATAGTTATTTTAAATCCGCACATACTATTTAAAATATACCACTAACCAAAGTGGATGCCCGGTGCAAAATCTCTTCTGTGTGTGCAGTCCTCATCGAGGTTATTAGCAATTAAGTTATATTTCCAACACACCCCAGTAGCATTGCAACCGTCGCGTACCGTCGCGTACCATCTCCCACTCGTGAGTATTTAATTTTATACCAGTGGCGTTCTTTGCGCAATAGTCGTTGAATTCCAATTGTAGGTATTGTTCTCAAAACTCCGCTTACTTGCCCTTCAACTCCTGAATTTGTTTCATGAATTGTTTGTGGCTGTGTAAAAGCAACATTTGGCACAATCATGCAGGATGTACCACTAACGTTTTCGTGCGGAATTAGAGAAACCCTAACCTTAACGGAGTCGAGAAAGTAAGCAGATCCCAGTTCGTGAAGTTCTTTCCAGTGATTGCTAAGCATAGTTCCCATTTTACAATCTTATACGTCAACACAAAATTCTAAAATTTTATTAGTACCTGGAGTGACTTTTGCCCAGATACGTGTGGTTATACTAAAGTTCTGGAAAATTGTGTGGTTATTTTTGTTAACAGCCGACGCTGTAGATGTTATAACGATTCCTTTAGCGTAACTGTCTATGTCATCATACTCACCATCTCCATCATCATTTCCACCACAATTTTCTTTATCGTCATTATCATCATAATCTCTGCCACTATTTTCATCATCATCTCATTTCTATCACTTTCTTTATCATCACCGCCACTGTTTTCTTTATCATTATTTTCATCATTGTTTCTCTACAAATTTCATATTTTCTTGATTCTGAAGGAGATGAATTGGTTAAATCATTATTTCAAATTTATATGTAGTGTTAGCACTACGTTGAGCATTCACATCTGTTTCCATTGGTTTCACAACTTCGTCTATAATTTCGAACTCATTCTGAAATAAAGCTGAAAGTTGTTCCATTACCGTCCCATTCAAATGTTCAGCAACCCAGAAAATAATACATGGTATTAAACAATCTTGCTGAAAATCAATTCCTACCGCATATGCTTGTATTTGTTGTGAGTTAAATATGTGGTCAATGGTATCTTTCTAGTTTTCAAGTAATGAGAGCAATCGTTCGACTTCGCCGTATGTGCTAGCGGATGTTACTGAAGAAATATTTTGATGAACGGAAATAAACTTTGTAACTTCTGTGAAATCAGTAACATTCCGCGAATTTGTCTTATTACTACCTTTAATGGCAAGTTTAAGGACGGAAAATTGGATATCATTGTAAACATCGCCATCAGTAATACAATGTAACTCTTTTGTAACTATGTCGGTTTCAACTATATTAGTATTTTTTCCCCAAATCAATCGAAGTTTTCTCTTCTTTTTCATAGCATTAAAACCTATATTAGTATTTTTTTCACAAATCAACCGAAGTTTTCTCTTCTTTTTTCATAGCATTAAAAACTATATTTTGTTCACATAAATTTTCTCCATTCTGACCACTTTTTTCCTTCTGAGGTCGTCTTGTTTAGGGATGGCATCATTTCTGCCTTGATCTAAATTACTTTGATCATTAAATCTGCAGTTTGCCATTTATGAAAAAATCATCTGGGAGGTCCTTCATCAAGGACAGTATTGTTGTTGCTTGATCAGAATTGCTTAGTTTATTGAAATTTGCGACTATCACAGCTTGCTCTTTATAAAAATCACCACTACCAATATTTATGTCATTATGTAAAAATGATAGCCCTTGAGCTAATTCTTGTGCAAATCTTAATTTATTTGACCATTTTAATTTCAAAAAATCGCGTAAATTTACATCCAAAGCAAATTGTAATATTAAGTTATACTCATTATTAAAGGGAACTTTTTAAATAGAAATTATTTAATATTGATTTATGAAAAGATAATTGTTTAAAAAGTAGGTAGCAACTTTTTAATTCCCATAAGCCTTGATGATATTTGGATGTTTATGTTTGTCAATAACTATGAATTAAGTGAACTCCGCAATAATTCCATTGCTAATAATTTTATCGCTGTCAATATTTAAACTTTTAAGAACAATAGTAAAATTTTTTCATTTTGCGGCGCGTACAGTTCCACACGGGTTTTTACTAATTTTTTTAAAATTGCTAAATTAAAGTCATACTTATGTATAATTTGACTTTCTTCATTAATAATCTTTTCAAATAATTCATTCACAGTGTTTGACATAATATACCAACCCAATTTTGAGTAAAATATAATCAGATTTATCATAAGGCCACGCAAAGTTAATTTCTCGTTCCGTCGACCCAATTTTTCAAAAAAAAAAATTCCAATTGCCCTAATTATTCCATTTTTGCTATTTAATTTTCCCCGTAAATTTATCCGGTATCACCCGGTAATGAACTTAATTTCCGGAATAACCCGATAGGTCTGTTAAAAAAAAAATGAAATAAAATTTCTAAATTTTCTGATCCCATGTTATTCAAAATGAAAAATTAACTTGCGTAGCCTTAAATGGGCATAAATCTATTAATTTACCGTAAAAAAGATTTTTTTTTAAAAAAAATCCGTCCCACAAAATGAGATATTAACTTTGTGTAGCCTAATATAAAAAAAAATTGCGAGAATATGAATCTATTAAAATAAGACTTATGAATATAACTCTTGAGATAAAAAAACCTTAATAGAAATTTTATAATAAAAGCCTCTGATATAAGAAAATCTTGATAAGAAATTTTGTTGGACTCGGAGACTTTCATTTAGTCAGTTGTACTTCGATACTATTAATATAATATATTTTCGAGCTGAACAATGTTTTAACAGTGCCACACAGTTCAAAGTTATGATGCCAGCAAATTTTTTTAAAGTGAGATCTTCAATCTTCCCGAAAAAATGTAAGTTGTTATGGCTAAAAGGGTTGTATATCAGAATCCCGACACACAGAATCCCGACACACAAAATCTCGGCAACAAAATCCCAATACACAAAATCCCGACAAATTAAAATTCTAATTTTAATGTCTTTAGAATTTTAATTTGTCGGATTTTGTTTATCGGGATTTTGTTGCCGGGATTTTGTGTGTTGGGATTTTGTGTGTCGGGATTCTGATATAAAAGCTAGTTGTCATGATGATAAAAATGATGCAGCTTATGATTGTTTAACAGACCATGAATGCCATCGTAAATGCGAATTTAAAGACGCTCATAGTGATGGTGTCATTTCGCTGCCCAAGAAAGACCTAGATGTCCAACTTCGCATTCTTGTGGTGCGCCTTGTCTTTATTATGACAAAAAAATAGCCAAAAGTTTTATGAAAAGTTTTTTGGGCATCAAGATATTAAAGGAAATAAAGAATATTTATGAGAATCAGACAAGCATTATTGCGGTGCCCCGTGTTCATTGAAAACAAGTAAATATGATTGTAAAAATACATGTATGTAAGTGGTGTATATTAATATATAGTCAATATAAGGTGAGGTACCACTTAAGCATTGCTTATATGAAAATTTTTAGGAAAAGCATAGTTATTTACAAAATTTAGTGAAATAAAATAACAATCGATTTACTAACTAATTATAAAAAAAAATATTGACTTTGAAAAAAAAAGTTGAAATATGAGCTTTCAAAATCTACTCAAAAAATGCTATGTTTTTTTTACATTTGGATTACTATATGTTACGTATTGTATTATTGCATCCTTCCTCTGGACATTACATTACCTAAATGAAGAAGAATTAAAAGAAACTTAATACATAATTATAACAAGGTTGTGACTATATTAATTTTACAAGATCAAACATATAATGCTCAAATAAAAATATTAAAATATATTTACTGCTTAATTTTTAACTTTATTTTTTATTTTTATATATAAATTTTTTTTGATTTTTTTTATATAAACGACATTATAACACTGATTATGCTATAACATAAGCTAAATCTAAATTATGATTCTAGAATGACTTGTGTCAATTCAGTATTATATTACTAGGTAGCATTATGTGTTCGGATGCCACAACGCATAAATATGGTATGCATGGTTTTGCTACACTAATGTGGACAGACAAAAATCTTCAAATTTACATTTTTGATATGACAATATAAGATAACTAATGATTTTAATCAAAAACGCAACTATAAATGCACCAAAAATGTGACTTTTGTATTACCATGACTAAACATTATATCATCTCCAGTTAGTCCAGAAAATGCTTTGAAACAGAACTTAGCATTAGAATACCAAATATGTATATTAATTTTAAGAATTTTTATAACAGTAAATGATATTCTATATATTATTTCTTAAGACCTAGCATGTCATTATTGTAAATTTATAAAAACTAAATTTTTATTAAAGCTAAAAAAAACTTTTAATGTAAGTTTTAAGAACCACAGTCAACTCTATTGACCATTTGTTATTATATGCAAAATGAGTTATAAAGTTCGGTTCTCAAAGAGGTAGTGATCCATATAGAACCAAAAAATGCAATCTATTAGTTGGCCAAAAATTTTTAAAAAGTTGAATAAAAATCGATTATTATTAACTAATCGATTAATCGATTAATATCAATTAATCGATTAGTCAATTAATCGATTAATTAACTAATCAATTAGTTGATATATCTAAATATTTTTTAGAATTCTAACTAAAATCTCTAATTATAATGATTAATATTTCTATATTAAAAATAACTAATCGATTAATCACCATCAATCGATTAGTTGTTTAACAAAATTATCAATCGATTAGTTGCCAACTTGATCAACTAACTAATTAATTGATTTTCGATTTGGATCACTACAAAGAGGTATTATATGCTAATCCAAACTTTATAATAAACTTTATAAATGTATTAGAGTTTTAGGTTCAGATTAGAGACAATTTTATAGTGTTTGGATTAGAGAGGTTCAGAATAGAGAGAGTTAACTATACAATTAACAAATTATCATTATTGAAATTAAACTTTATTACAGTAAAAATATTATTGCAATAGCAATATCCAACTTGATTAACTATATATAGACTTTTTATTGCAAATATAAAGTCCATGGTTTTGAACATGCAAATGATCTATTATGGTCTTTAGTTTTAAGACTTAGCTAGTCTAGACTAGTCCAAACAGATCCAGTCTTCTTGATATACTGTAAAAAGTTGCCTGCCTTGTAAATAACTACAGTAGTTAAAAATAATAATAATAATAATAATAATAATAATTAATTAATAAGATAAAACTAGATATTATTATAATATTTGCAATATAATACATCAAGATTTTTTTTTAAAAAAATACTGACTATTATTTATGCAAAGTTTAGATTCTCCAAATAAAGGTGAATCTTGTCAGAGTTCACCATGCCATAATTCAATTTTTCATCACATACAATACTAGGGCCAAAATATAAATAAAATGCAATTATTGAATTATTAAGAATATATTCAATATAATCTAATGGTATTATTGAATATGTAAGTTTTGTTGGATCTGAGTTTGATGGTGTGTGCTGTCTAGAAATTGGAACTGTATAACTCCAAACCTTAAGCAATGGGAGTCTATTTCTCCTTTTGTGAAAACACCTTATATTTGCAATAACATGTTCAGGCTAAAAGCCAGATTTTTTAAGAATTTTGATAAGTTCTTTATAGACAGTTATAGAAATTATATAGTAGATGTAAAAGTCAGAAAATATAGTTTATATTCTCTATTAAACCCTTCAAAGAATTGTGATTAGCTCTCAAATAGTTTGTATCCTTTGGTACTATGTTCTATTTCTTCAGCAGTATTTTCTTTTTCTGAATCGTCAAATTATTATCATTGTCTGAATTCATCAAATCATTATTATTATCATGTAAATAGTTTTTATAGTCTTCCAAATTTTCTGAATTTATATTATTACTAGTTGTAAACTCGTTCAATAATGCACAGTAATAAACTTATAAAATTTTTAAATAAAACTTTTATAATTATTAAGCTATAAACCTATACGATATATGGAAAAGATTTAATATAAAATAAAATAAAAATTTAAATCTAAAGCAAATTAATTTAAATAATTTTATCTCTAATATAGATTATTATTATTATTATTATTATTATTATTATTTTTATACTTTGGCTAAGTCTTGCTGTAACCAACTATCCCTACTAACCACCCCTTTACAGGGAGGCGACCCAAACCAAGTATTTCTACCATTATGAGTACATTCGGAATAGGCCTGACCCTACCCAGTTGCCTATTCAGGTACCTAGGACCGACCACCTGCACTGTCCTCCGGAGAGATCATATCACCTTATTATTGTACTGGACTTTCACCAGCCAATCTGGTGTCACCACGAGCTCTTGTAGTATCTTTATCAGTCTTGGCCTCACATTACATCTCGTGACTTTGGTTATTTCAAATCGGGGTTCTGACACGCCTTGCTTCATAGCCACAACTTCTCAGAATAACTATTCTCCGAATACCCCACAGTGTTTCACTTCTGTTTTCAAATTTTTATTAATCTGCCATTGGGAGGAATTAAACTGGCAACTATCTGATTTGCAACCTGGGAGTATAACCACTATGCTATTGACCCACAGGTTCTAATATAGATTATTAAAATTAAAAATTTATTGGTTCTTAAATATTTTAGAATCTAGTAATTGAAATTAAATAAACTTTTTTTATTGGATGTGCCTCACTGAGAGCTTTTATTTAAAAAAAATTTCATCCAGATTGGACTGCTGGTTGTCAAGATAATTACAAAAAACTACTTTTTGTATATTTTGGATTATATTAAACCCGAAGTATTATAGTTTCTTTAAGTTTATGTGAGAAGTTATTAAGTAAAGATATCTTCAAGCTTTAAGTAAAGTTGTAGGGTGGTTAGATCATCAAAATCGAGCCAGTAGTTATTGAGATATGTGGGATTAAAGATCTAAACATAAAGATTAACAAATCAATACTTTGTGTAATAGTGACTTTGCTAATCCTTATGTTCGTGCCTTTAATCCAAGATATCTCAAAAACCACTGGGCCGATTTTGATGATCTAACCACCATTTGACTCATAATTATCTCCTCTACAACTTTGTTTAAGCCTTGAAGATATCTTTACTTAATTACTTCTTGTATAATTTATTGACAAATCAGAATAACAATTTTAATATTATACAATTTAATTGAATTATTTATATTAGTAATCTAAACATTATTGTTATACACAAATATTTTTATTATATAGTTATAGATACAAGTATTTCATCTTATTATTCTCCCAACCTACACTATCTAGAAAATATTCCTCTTCACTAATCTCCCAATTAATATATTTATCTAATTCACTTAAGTATTGGTATGTCTCACTAGAATATTAATCTAGTTTATTTGATTTATTTGAATATTGTTCTGAATCACTTAATTATTATTATTTGAATATTCATTTAAATTTTCTAAATTACTTAAATGATTTGATTGTTCATTTGATTTATTTGCTTGTAACTTATAGGTAATAGGTAAAGAACTTTGAAGAAGCAAGGGCATTTAGAATTTCTTTACTCTATTATATTGATTGCTTATATTAAGGCTTGTCTAATTTAATAATTGTAAGCAAAGTATATATATTTACTTTATTATACATTGATTCCTCTTATTTTCTTACCAGTGATATCTTTCTCTAGTTTAACTTTATACAATTTCACATGACAAGATAAATCTTTTATTACTTTGTTCAAATAAAAGATCTATTACTAATTATCATTTTTCCTTTATATATCTCTTATTACAAACTATATACTTTATATATATATTAAATAAACTCTGCATGTATTATTTTCACATTACACTAACTCTGTATTTTAACTCAAGAACTGTATTTCAACAATTACAAAATAAATATTGTACTATTACTGCTACAATTGAACAAGAAGCACTTACTTTGTTGGATAATTTATTCTTATTAAATAGAAAATTATTAAAAGATTTTCCAAACATGCCAATTTCTCCTAAAAATTCTTCCAATATTTATAACAATGAAGATGCTTTAAATCAACTAATACGAGAAGAGAAATCATATAATATCACAGAATTAGAAAATGAATTAAGCTAAATATACCTTTATTAAATTAGCTTATAGTCAGAAAAATCTTTGTCTTTGACAGTAATTTTTATTAAGTATTGCCTGTCACACTGTCGTAGTGATGACCAACACCCCTTGTGTTGATAGTGCTAGAGTTAGATACAAGCACGTGTTATCCAATTGGGACTGGGTAATATCAATGGCGTAATAGTTGATGTATGAATTTAATTAAAAGTCTATTTGTATTGTTGTATAATGCATATAACCTGGGTAATCAAGTATCCAGATTGATAATCTAATAAAAATCATATCGATTTCAAGGGAATTGATAAGCAAGTTCTAATTAATAACAAGTTTAAGTTAATAATAAATATTAGTAGCTTAGTAAATACATGACTTAGTATATACACAGTAGTATAGGTGATAGTGCCTGATATAATACACCAGTGTGCAAAGCAAGTGCTCTGACTAAGTGAATCAAGCCCAAAGACCCTACAACTACAAATGTATACGATAGCAAGGGCCTGGGTAGATGAAAGTCTACTTGCAGAATTCGTTAAAGATTTAGTCTTATACTTTGTAGTTGGAACCTTGTTTGAAGAAACTCGGCAAGTAAAATATAGCTAATATAATCAAGTGAACGTATATTTTAATGAAAAGAACATTAAAAAAAAAAAAACATTGTCAGTGAAGGCTTGTCGATTAAGCAAAAATAGTGAAAAAACATTGCATATCTAAGTAGTAACAAAAGAAAATGGTAGACGAAGGTTTTCTAACATTGAAGGGTGACAGAAATTGTTGTAAAAGAGATTATGAATAACCTAAATGCTATGTGAACAAAACAATGATGGCCTTGACTATACTATGTATATCGACACCAAGGACACTTAGCTCATTCCTGCTTGGAACAAGCAAAACATGAATGTTGAGAACATTATATGGATATACAGTTTATGAAAATAAATTATTTCAAAGCTGGTGATAGAAATAAGGAGAAATAAATATGAAAATGAAAATGAAAAAAGATAGTTAATAAATCATTTGAGGACAAAGCAGCGCAAATGAAAAATAAAAAAAATGAGTATAAAACATTGATTCATTGTCAAAAATCTGTCAATATAAGTGATGCTAATGAAACGATCGAAGTTGAACATCGTTATCAAGAAGAACCAGTAACAGTAATGAAAGCATCATTGAACCTAGTAATAAAAAAGGACGCGATAATAATAAAATTATTAGAATCGTCGACGAAAGATGAAGGTGACATTAAAGGTGTAAACGATAATGAAAATAATATGATGAAGGTTTGTAAGAGTAATGGTAATATTAAGGAGAATGATGATAATGATAGAGGGTGTATGTTGGTTAGTTCAATAAGTTTGGGTGAAATATTTAGGAATGAAGTTAAACTTAATAACTTACCCGAAATAAATGGTAGAATAAATTCAATCGAAAATGTTGAATCAGAGGATGATCTTGAAATAAAAATGGTGATTGGTAATGATATAATCAACAATATGAAAACTGTTGAACAAGCAATGAATACAATAAATGGAATAATAATACCTAAGGTTGCAGATGATGAAATAATGACAAGAAGAGGATCAAATTATGCTAAATTGATTGGATATAATCATAAAGCTAAATCCAAAAGAAATCGACTGAAAGTACAAAAATCTTGTGATAATTGGAATCTGGAATGAATATTGAATATATTGGATCAAGTTAGAAAAGGAGAATTCTATAATCGTATATACAGTCTGACCTCTCTATAGTTACACCCCATACAGTTACACCTCTATATAAGCATCAATATTGTGTAATGGACTTAATTATAGTAAAAAACCTCTTTATGGCATCGCTTATAATCACTATCACAAAAAAATTTGGATTTTTTTATCAATTTTATTGGTAAAAACCTTCTTTATAGTCACAAATTTTGACTAAATATAGATTGTAAAATCTGATTGGCTGATATTCATATTTATGCTTATTTAAAGTACTATTGAAAATTCTTAAAAGTTTGACAGCAAATATCTTTTGATGTAGTGGTCCAATTTAAATAAAACAACCACTAAAATGTTTGTCTTGATGGGACAATTCTAATGAGTCCAGGATTGTTAAAATCCAATTACAGGCTCCTGTAATCATTAAGGATTTGTATCACTTTATATAGTTAAAAATTGATTAAATTTAAATATCTTAGTTAAAAATTCTTAATGATTTTAGCATCTTGCAATTAGATTTGGATGATTTGGACTCTCTAAAATCATTTTATTGAGTTAAATACTTTGGTAGTTATTTTATCCAAATTGGTTCACTGGATTAAAAGTTACTTACTATCAAACATTTTAAAATTTTTAATAGTATTTCAAATATGCATAAATATATTACTTATTGGCCTTTGGTTACATGACTATGAAAAGTATTTTATTTATAATCACACCTCTATATAATCACCAAAATAGGATGCGACCAACTTGTGATTATAGAGAGGTTTAACTGTACTTGGACCATATGATCAGCTGCGATAGTGTAGAGCATGCAATATCTGAAAATCAAATCAACATGTGTTTAAGTTTTAAACATTTGTAAAAAAAAAAAAAAAACTTTTATTATTAGAGTTGTGTTTTTTTTTAATATATGTGATAATTTGTTTAGTATAACTTATACATTTGTGTTGGGATATGTATAGCATCGAATTTTGCAAAGGTGAACTTCGGGATGAAGTTCATTAAGGATCTAGCTCCTGTCGTAGTAACAACAATACCCCTTGTGTTGATAGTGCTAGAGTTAGGTAAAATCATGAGTTACCTGATCAAGACTGGGTAATGTCAATGGGTAATCGTTGATGTATGAATTTAATTAAAAGTCTATCTGTATTATTGCATAATATGTGTAATCTGGTAATCAAGTGCCCAGATTAATAATCTAATAAAAAGTGTATCGATTTTAAAGGAATTGATAAGCAAGTTCTAATTAATAACAAGTTCAAGTTAATAATAAATATTAGTATCTTAGTGAATACATGACTTAGTATATACACAGCAGTATAGGTGGTAGTGCCTGGTACAACACACCAGTGTACAAAGCGAGTACTCTGACTAAGTGAATTGAGCCCAAAGACCCTACAACTACAAACATATATAACACATACCCTATAGGTTCTGTGCAGAAGTCATCTCTGCTAGCTTATCTCAATCTTCTTTATGGAAACATCTAATAGTAATGAAATTGACAATTAATATAAGACTTTGCCAAACTAATAATGTGAATAAAAATTTAAACCAAAAAGAATTTTCAGAATTCATTCTACAATTAGAAGATAGAAGCTATCTAATCATTACCAGTACTAAAAATAAAATAGAACTTCTTTTAAATATAGTTACAGCTGATTGAGATTATCAGTTCTAACTAATTTTGTCTATCCAAAATTTATCTAACATTCTACTAATATAGATTATTTAATTAAAAGACTATATTAACTCCAAAAAATGATATTATAGATAAAATTTTAGATCTTATAATAGATCAATTTCCCAGTAAAGTTTTTATCTATTTAAGTGCAGATTTTGTTGATTTATACAAAGATACTGATTTAAAACAATCTCATTTATACCCACCTGAGTTTTTAAGATCTATGAAGATTTCCGGCTTTCTGCTTGGTAAATTAAAGTTAAAAATTAGAATACCAGTAATACTTTTACAAAATCTAAGTCCTGCAAAAGGACTATATAATAGAATCTAATTAATTTGTCATAATTTATATTACAGATCAAATATAAAAATATCAGCCAAACTATTAGCTGTCTGATATATCTATAATACATAACAATAGATTAATAAAATATTATCAACTATTGATATATTGCTAATATTTATCTGATATTTTAATTTTTTTATAAGAAAATTTTATACAAATATCAAACTTAACTGATATTTTAGAAAAATTTTAATTGGATATTAACTATTATATATTTATATGATATAAATATTGGTAATCTATCATTAAGATATTAGCTATTTAATAAATGTTTAAAGTAAAATGGAAATATTAGATATCAGATATTTATATACAATGAATTCAACATAATAAAATATTGACTTTATTGTAATAGTGCTGTTAATACTTATATATATATATGATATCGATATATACTTGTTGAATTCAAAAATATCAGATAGTATATTAGCTATTCAATATTTATAAAATATTGGTTATGCAATGATTAATATCATAAAAATTGGTTTATCAGAGCATATAGTTGACTAACAATGCTACACAGTAGTACATTTCAGACAACTATTTGTTCTTGAAAAACAAATTTTATGATATTAATTGAATATTGATACTATTATGCAATTATGATTATGATTTACAAGTCATCATTAATATACCAACTACCAAAATATATATATATATATATAATTGGGTTTTAAATTTCAATTTAAGCACAATAATAATAGAATCACAAGATTTTTGAAAAAAATAAAGCTTTTTTTTTACTATTCAAATTATTTATTGAAATTTACTTAATTAGCACTGCAAATTCAAGTCAAATTATATATAGTTCAAACATTTAAATATATTTATATTTATAATCAATTTTTTTAATACATGTATAAAACTTTAAATGCTATCAGTAAATATGTGTTTTTGTTATGATCACTTCAGGTTTTAGAAGTTTTTTTTCACATGTTTATAATTTTAAATGCTATTCATTATTTTTTGGATAGGTTTAAAGTTTGATTCAATGCTTCGAATGCATTGGAAATATTATTAGATTTTTCAAAACAATCAAGTGCTAAAAATATAATAAAATATATTTATATAAATATGAAAACATAGTGATAATAATAATAAATCTTTATATCTCTTGAGTTTTTTTTGTACTTTTTTAAAATTTCAAACTTGGATTTACTATCTTTAATACTAAATTCTTCCTTCAATAATAACTCTTCTTAGTTGTAATATTTGATTCTTAGTTTTTTATTCTGTTTTTTATTTTCATTATTATTATTTTTTTTGAGTTCATAGCTATAGATAGGATCTGTAAATAACTATGATTAAAAATGAATATACAATTTTAAACAAATGTTCTGGTGCATAAATTCGTAAATATTCAATAAAGTTTGTTGTGAATAATTTATCATTTTGTATATTCGTATAAAATTGTGAATATCTAAAAACTATGAATATTTACTAAATAGTCACCTTTATTTACAATGACAATTACACCAATAGGTAAATCAAGTAGTCTTGATTTGTTTATATCTTTTATAGTAAACATATAAATAGCTATCTTCTTTTTACAGATCTTTACTATCTCAAGTGCTAATGAACTTGCAAAAAGTTCTGAGTTATTTAATTCTGATTCATTAATCATTCAAGAAATATCTACAACTATTTCAAGATTTATATGCATATTGCTTTCTCCTTCAATATTTATAAGCTTTTTATAAACTATAAATTATATGTTTAATCTCTTCAGATTTTATGCATTTTCTTTTTGCTTACAAATATTATTAAAATTTGTTCTCATTTTCTTTTTTGGCTTTTATTTATAAGGGTTGAATACTTAAAGCATATTTTTTAATTACTTTGAAATGCAATAATAGATTTTATAATTCAACAAAATAAACAAAGTTTTGGATTTTCCTATTTTATGATATTAAAATAAGCATAAATAGTTATTCTTATTATTATGCAAATGTCATCATTGTTGTATCAATAATTAATCCTAATATTGATTGTTATTATTGGCTAACTGAGGTTTAATTCAGGATTGTAGTGTTTATGTAATAACAAAAAAATCTATAATTATAAATTATTAATTATATATCTACTAATAATTTAAAGTATACATAATAGCTTGATACATATAATTATAATTAAATTTATTTTTGGCAATAATCTAGTATAGGCACTGATTATATAGAGTGAAGCGAACCAAAGATACTAATTTTAAAATCATTAAATACTAGTATATAATAGTTAAATTAATATCTTTGCTTTGAAGAATCCTATTATATAATCTGAAAATTTTAAATAGTAAATTTAATTGTCAATATCATAAAACAAAGCTAAATCTATAAATTGGGAAAATTTCAACACTCAAAATTCTTTCAAATCACATAATATAATAGTTCAAAGCAGAGCAAAGCAAGACACTGATTTAATCATTATGTACTAGTATATAATGATTAAATTAGTATCCTGCTTTGAATAATCATATTATGTGATTTGAAAATTTTGTATTTAAGATCATCAATATTTTGATCTTGTACAACTTTTTTTTTTTTTTAAACTGTCTTATTTTATTAATCAGTTTACTTTATTTTTATTTTTTTAGTCATTTTACCTTTTTTATTTATTCTTTCTAACAATTATTTCTATTTCTCTAACTATAATTTCATCATTGAAGTTATTGTTGAAGTCATCATTCAAAATATTATTTAAATTGTCTCATTATAATCATTTTACTTTATATATTTTTTAATCTTTTACTTTATTTTTTTTTTTAATCATTTTTGTCTTTTTTATTTATTCTTTCTAACAATTATTTTCTATTTCTCTAACTATAATTTCATCATTAGAGTCATTGTTGGAATCATTATTGGAGTTGTCATTTGAATCGTCACTGAAGTTGTTTCATCATTATGTTTGGTGTACAGTATTTTTATTTTCTTTAATGAGAGTTTTTTTTACTACAGTTCTGAGTGATTTTATTGCTGGAGTTGTCATTCAAATAATTACTGGAATTGCTGGTACTGTTTTGTCATATTTTCTTTACTACTAGATTTTTTTCTATAGCTCTAGTATAATTTGTTGTTAAAGTCGTTGTTTGAATTATCACTGGAGTTGTTAGTACTATTTTGTTGTCACATTTCATCATTGTGTTTGGTGTATTTTCACTTTCTTTAACAGGTGTTTTTTTCTATAACTCTAGTGTAATTCATTATTAGAGTTATTGTTCAAATTATTACTGAAGTTGTTGGTACCATTTCATTGTCACATTTCATTGTTGTGATTGGTATATTTTCACTTTTCTTTAACAGATATTTTTTTTCTATAGCTTTAGTAAAATTTGTCATTGGAGTCATTATTCGAATCATCACTGGAGTTGTTAGTACTATTTTCTTGTTGTGGTTCATTGTTGTGTTTGATATATTTTCACTTTTCTTTAACAGGTGTTTTTTTTTCTATAGCTCTAGTGTAATTCATCATTGGAGTTGTCATTTGAATCATCACTGGAGTTGTTGGTACTATTTCATTATTGTGTTTCATCATTGTGTTTGGTGTATTTTCATTTTTTTTTAATAGGTATTTTTTTCTATAGCTCTAGTATAATTCATCATTGATGTTATTGTTTTAATCATTACTGGAGTTGCTAGTGCTGTTTTGTTGTCATGTTTGGTGTATTTTTGCTTTTCTTTAATAGTTTTTTTGCTCAAATTGTCATTAGAGTTGCTAGTTCATTTTGTTGTTGGGTTTGGTGTATTCTTGCTTTTCTTTGATAGAGAATTTTTCCTACAGTTCTAGGTTTGTTTTGTCACTAGAGTTGTCTTTCAAATTATCACTGGAATTGTTAGTATTGTTTTATTATGCTTTTGGTATATTTTTAGTTTTTTTTGCAGTTTTTTTCTATAGTTCTAGTTTTTTTGTGCTGTTTTTATTGTTGCCTTTGGTATATTTTGATTTTCTTGCTTTGTAGTTATGTGATTTAGTTTGTAAAATATAAAATTATAATAAATTAATTATATAAATATTATTAAAATATTTGTATTATATCTGCTAGTTGATATTTTGTAGAATTTCCATATATAGATATATTTGCTAGCTAATATTTTGTAAAAATTTTGTATATAGATTGCAGAAATTTGCTAATATGCGCCAGTTTGATAGACCACAGATACATGCCAAATTTCTGTGAGCTATTAGCTGGCACATATTGGACAATTTCTACTGGATTTTAATGACCTATATACAACATATTGGCTAGCAGATATGTTGCAAAAATTTTATTGTTCGACTAGTGCATAACAAAGTAATCAATGCTAAAATTTGTACAGGCTCACATATTGGTAGCCATGTATTCATATCTAGAATCACAATTTCACCTTGTGACACCAATTTACTATTCACTTTAACATATTGCCAATTTTCTGTATGGCTTACATTTTTTATAACTATTAACAAATCACAGGGCCAAACCTTGAATCAAGTTAGTCTCCATCTGCCAGAATCTATTTTTTCGCATGGTCAATTATATGTAGCTCTATCAAGAGTTACTTCCTACCATTTCATTAAAATTCTCTATCCTGATAACAATGATATAAATTCTAACCTTTTGCAAACAAATAATGTTGTATATCCTGAAGTCTTTTTAGTGACATAGTTTAATTTTCAAATCTTTGAACCCAAGCCTATCTACTTTTTATTCATTATTTAATCAAAAAAAAGACATATATTATTTTTTTAATTCTATCAATTATATTAATAATATATAATAAATTCACCTTAATCTAACTGATTTCAAAGAGTCCACAATAAGTTTACTAAATTTTGAAATTTTTATTTGCTATTTTCAATAAATTCACGGACCACATGATTTTCAACCCTATACTGAAAGCAAAATTATAAAATCTATAACTCACATATATTATACCTGACCCTTATATACACACTCAGAATCAAAATTTAATGACATGCACTTAGAGAACAACTGCATTTATGTAGGTCATGAATATATTTTCCCAAAAATCTATATTAGCATTCTGAGACTTATATGTAGAAGATCCACTTAGAAAGGTTTCACTGTATACTATACTAATCTATTCACCTGATCTGCGAACCTATGTACTGTACGTATGTACGTACGTGTACCTACATATATTAGACCAATTATATTAATCTTTTCATATCATTTTTTTTAACTACGTATCATCGTTATTGAAGTATTGCATATTGATAACAAACCAGATTCATTTTCCAATCGCACAATTTTTTTTACACTCCTCTAATCACTTTGAAACAAACATTTAACAAACCTATATAACTCTAGGATACTAAATTTATACCAGTATCAATATATATACGATATATTAGTAAACTAAATATCTAACCGGAAAAAAAATAAATAGCTGCGCGCTAAACAAAAACAACTTAATATAAAATATAGTAGGCACCTCTAATGAAAAATAGTTATATGTATATAGTTTGAATTCAAATGAATATCAAATATACAACTGAATCCTGCATCACTATATTAATATAAACCGCTATAATTAAACAACCAATTTTACCTATACGATTTAAAAAATACAGTATCTATAAAATTAAGTATAAAATACCTCTTACAATTCCAATGTCTAACTTCAACCTTAATATTACATATCATTACACCAAGTATTAAAAACATATATTTCACGCTTCAATACCGTACGAATCTTATCCTATTAAACTACATAATTTAGAAATATTTATTTGTAACCTATTTATACAAATTAAAGTAAATAAGAATCTGACTAACACATAAATACCTTAAATTAAATCTTTAAACCAATTAGGCTAATAAATCTTCAAAAAACTTAAAGACTAATAGTACTATAAGTATAATTAGCTACCTACCATACGTAATTTGACTATTACAAATAAAATTAATAAATTGTAGCCAAATACTGTAAATCAATTTATATTTTAAGTTCCAACTTTTATTTAAATAGAAATTATAATTTTAAATTCAGCTAATAGTTAAAATTACAATAAGTAATATTATAAGATTTATAACTAATATACTTACATTTTAATAATTAATTTACCTTCTATATATTTATATAATACATTTACTTTAATATAATAAATTATCATAATTATCTCAATAAAATACTATATAAATTTTAAATTTTATTATTTTTTTCTAGACTAGATATATTTATCCCCGTGCAATATTGCACGGGTTTTCAGCTAGTTTATTAATAAAATTTTTTTTATGCTTCTAATTTAAGTCTTAATTTTTACAATATTTTAATAAGAAAGTTGTAATTCTTTATTTAAACTACAATTTCTATTAAGAAACTATAGGTTTAAAATTAATATTTAAAAATTTTTCTTAACTAAAAATTTTTTTAAATTTATATATTTTTAGGCTATAAGTAAATTAATATTTTTATCTTGTAGTTTAAATATAAATTTTGCAAAAACATAATCCTTACTTTTAATTTTTATTTAAAAAAAAATTTAATCAAATATATCAAATTTTTAAAAAAATAGATCAGAAGTATTTTAATAGTAAAATTCAAAGCAAATTTGCCCTAAATTTCAAATGGTTTAAGAGATAATAAAGTAATAATGACATTTTTTAATTTATTTTATTATGAGTAGTTGATTCTTTATAAAGTGAATGAGCTTTACTCCACTTTAACAACAATAAATTAATTAAAATTTACAAAACTAAGATCATTATTAAAAAGAGAAAAAATAAAAGCTACAAATTAAAAAAAATATTATATAAAAAGTTTGTTTCCTTGATCTAAAAAATGACTTTTATAAAGTTATTGCTATTATCATACCAACATATATTTTTGATCTACACAATAAAGCGAATAATATGTAAAAGTAAATTTTTCAAATTTCAAAATTATTTAAAGAACCTGTAAAAAATCTTTACATAATAAATTTCATATATGGTCAAAACTATTAATTAATTTACCGATATGATGATCATCCTAACGCTCCAGTGATGGTTATTTGCCTTTTTTTCATATGACCTAGGTCATTTCAAACTAAAATTTATATAATAAAATTGGGCCATTGAGGTCATTTGAAGTTAGTGTTGCCTGCTGCAAAGTCGCAACTTAATTTATGTTGTAATTATTACAAAATAAGTCATGAAATATTACTATTACTGATGTCAAATTCTATTGCGATAAGTTGCAACCCTAGTGGCGCAATAAAAAAGTTGCACTTCATATTTGCAGCAAGCAATACTATTTGAAGGTCATTTGAAGGTGATATACCATCCCTGCTACGCTCCGGACAATGAATTAACATAAATTTCAAAGTGGTGCGTGTATAAACTATATATATATATATATATTCCTTCAGTTCGCTAGGTTTCGGAGACTCGGGCGATACCGAAATTCCAGGGCCGAAACGTTTCAGACTTTGAGGTAGGTTTAGGCCGAAATATTGGTTGTGCCTGATTCAACTAATTTATTCTTTTCACGTAATGCGAATTCATTATCAGGTTCTATTGTTAAAATCCTATCCAATTCTAATAGCGCTTTCTCTTTTTCTCCTAAAGCACAATAAACCGCACTTCGTTCGCATAACGCAAGTATAACCTTCGGCTCCATAAATGAAGCTTTATTCAAATTTGCTAAATCCTCATTAAGTGCATTATAATCTGCCCCTCGATTGCATAATGTTTTAGTTTTGTGGTCAATATTAAAAGCTCCATCCTTTACGTTTTTTAACACTCGATCTAGATCTAATAACGCTTTTGTATTTAATTTTAGGGCTCGATAAACCGCTCCTCTTATCAATAACGGATAGCTCCAATCAGGTAAATTTTCTAACACTTTATTCAAATCTTGTAATGCTTCTTCATACCTTCCTAATGCTAAGAATGCTTCTCCTCGATATGTTAATGCCCAAATATTAGATGAATTCATTCCTAACACTGTATTTAAATCCGCAAGCGCATTTTCATGTCTACCCAAACTATTATACAATGCGCCTCGAGTTTCTAATGCGAAAGCGTGTTTCGGATTAAGTTTCAAAGCTTTCCTTAAGTCTACTAAAGCTTCATCATGTCTTTTTAACATGAAATAAACTGCCCCACGATTTGTAAGAGCAAATACGCTGTTCGGATCTAAGTCGATTGCTTCATCAAGATCTCGCAAAGATTCACAAAATCTTCTTAGAACTCTGTTAACAGCCCCACGGCTTTCATATGCTATTATGTTATCAGGATCAAGTTTAATCGCTTCATCCAAATCTTTTAATGCTTTATGACCTTGTTTTGTCATTCTATAGACTTCTCCACGTCGAGCTAATGCATATACGCATGTAGGGTCAACTTCTATAGCTCTTGAAAAATCACTTAAAGCTTTTTCAAAGTCTTGAAGCAATCGATAAATTTCTCCTCTTTTTTGAAGTATTTCTACATCATTAGGATCAATTCTCAATGCCGCTGTATAATCTATTATGGCATCATCAAAATAACCAAGAGAATGATATGCCTCACCCTGATTTTTTAATAATTGAAAATCAAAAGGTTCTATTTGTAAAGTAATATGAATATGTGTAAGTGCTTCTTCATATTTTTTCATTTTTATAAGAACTTCTGCTTTATTTTTATGAGCATTAAAATTTTGTGGCTCTTTTTGTAAAATCCTATCAAAATCTGATAAAGCATCTTGATCTTTATCTAAATCTCTATAAATTAATCCTCTTCGTTCTAATGCCATTATATTTTCTTCACATCGTAATGCAGCTTCTAAATCTGCAAGTGCTAAGTCATAACGTCCTACAATTCGATAAATTTCACCTCGATCTGCCAATGTTGAAGCTGCATTACTTTTATCCAATTCAAGCGAATAATATAAATCCTTCACCGAATTATCATAGAGTTCAAGTAAACAGTAAACTTTTGTTCGACGTACTAAAGTAAATACATTTTGTGGTTCTATATTTAAAGCTAAATCTAGATCCAAAATAGCTTCTCTGTATTGTTGAGTTTCCCTATAAACTTCGGCACGCGATCTTAATGCAAAAATACTCTTTTGTATTTTCAATGATCTATTAAGATCTACCAAAGCTTTATCATATATAGATCTTAGACGGTATACTTCACCTCGAAGAGAATATGCATAGTTCTTTTTAGGTTTTTTTGAAATTGCGTAATTTAAATCATTAACAGCACCTTCCCAATCTTCAAGTTGATATTCAGCATAAGCTCGATCACATCTAACCGAATAACTGTGAGGATAATCTTTTAAAATCTGTGAAAATAAAAAGATAGCCTCATTATATTGTAAGTCTTCTAACGCTTGAAGTGCCTTTTGATAATTAAGCTGATAGTCCTTTGATAACTTTTTAAACACATTAGGCAACTTGCCAAGAGATTTTTGTGGTTTATACCTTTGATGATTTTTACTAATATCATTATAATTAGCACTCGAAAAAGAATTAAGAGAAGTGAGATTTGTAAAATTTAAAGCATGACTAGGACGACTATTAAATTGATCAAAAGAACTATTTGAATAGTTCATATCTTCAAGAGGTGATTTTGATGATTTTGGTAAATGATTGAAATGATTTTCAGAACTACTTTTAGAATTAAAAGTATTAAAGGTGGATTGAGAATTTTTCATAGTATTTCTGTCATAGTTTATATATGCCTAGTTTTCTTGGGCAGAGTTGGCGAAACTGTTAAGTCTTTGATGAGTATCTTCTTGAAAACTTTTAGGTGTTAATAAAAGTGGAAAAGAAATACTAAAGCACTGCCTATCATTAATCGGTATTAGTAAAGGAGTAGTAGATCTTCTCTTTGACTGATTATCTTGTGAAAAATTTGCGGAGTAAAGATGTACTTCTGAAAAGAAGAGACAAGATTTTATCGTGTCATTTTGGTAATGTACGTACGTACAACGTTACATGGCATTTTAATTTCACGAAGTACATATTGTATGCAGCATGATTAAAAATAGTCAACCCGGAACGTAGTAAATATAGATTATGAAACATATGGCTATGAAACAATGAAAGACCCGGGGTTGTCCGTACACGTGATAATCAATGCATTTATTATTGTACCAGGAACGTTAGTGTATGGTTTTACTGGCATCTAAAACGAAGGCAAAATCTTAAAGCTGATTGGTGCATATTT